CTATCTGAGCCACACTGGCCAAGGCAGAAATTAGTTTTAAAAGATATTTACCAAAATGCATTTGATCCATAAGTACTCAAGAAGGCAAATCTTGAAACTCAGTTTGTATATTTGGTGAAGAATAAGTAATAATTCCCCCAAGTTACAAATAATAAAAACATTATTAAGAAGAATTTTAGATTCAGAGAAAAAGGGATCAATCATAGTAATCAAACATGATACTTCCAGCCATTAAATAACCTCTCTCAGGGATTAAACTTTTTCTTGGTGTAGAGAATACTATAGTCAGATGGACAGGAGACGTTCAGCTAACCCTGAGGTCCAGTAAAATCACAGCTTAAATTGGCTATAAGTGCAACTGGGCCACACTGTCTCTATGTAGACCACTTAGCTCACAATGATAGCTGAAGTGTGACAAAGAGATCAAACTGTAGAACTGAAGGGTTAGGGAGTGAAGATGTGGCAAAGTTTATTAAAAAAGAGCTGCAAGAACTCATGACATGAAACAACTCTTTCCAGCTTCAATGTGACGTACATTGGGCTGACTTATAGACCTATGAACCAGTTACAACAAGCTGGCCAATTTGTTCACTTTTCACTTAGCATCTTGTTTGAGCACCTTTCAGGGCAAGGTAGTTTGTGAGGCCTGTGGATTGACACTAACTGGCTGTCCCCTCTGAGTTGTGTTGCCCCCAGACTCTATGGATTCTCCCAACCATTCAGAGGTAAATGTTACTAATAACACTGGCTGGGTGCACAGAAACACCATGTAAAATAAAAAATAACAACAAAAACAAGCTCACTCAAGAAATAAAGCAAGTTCCTTAGAGAACCTATAAGACAAAAATAATAATTTCTTCGTGTGCTTGATAAGGTACCAAGATTTTTCTACATGCACTTCATAAAATAATAAATTGAGGGTTAACTATAGCATCAGGAACATGTTACTTCGTGCTTTTCTCAAAGATTCACAACAGAATAACAGAAGGTAGAGGAGGAGGAGACAAAACAAGTGTCTTCTCTCATATCCAGAAAGATTACAGGAGACTTTTTTCTCAGTTGCTGGGTCAGAACTTCCATGTTTTCCTTTAAAAGGTTATTCCTTTGCAGCAGCTTTCATTGCCAGGACATTTTTCTTCATTTTCACCTTAACCTTATGATCTTGTGCACCTTTAAATGTCAGAGAAAGGCTGTGGGGGATGCTTTGTTTGAGAACAGAGTGTACCACACATGACCCATCTCTTCTGAGTCTTCACTCTGAATACAGAAGCATTCCTGATTTTAATCTTTGGATTTAAACACCAGCTTCCTGTCTGTGCCATTTCTCCTCTCCCTCAAGATATGCAGAGCTTCAGACATCATTAAAGAAAGCTTAGGGCCTGGAATATGTAATCCTTTGCTATCTGGCACTCTGTATTTGGTAGGGTTTAAGTGGTGTTAAATGAAACATATGTTTACATGATGAGAATGAAGGATTCTGGGAAATGATCCTGTTTGAAAATACATCAGAAATCAACTGCTCTATCCCATAGTTTGGATGCCATGAACAGAGCTTATCAAGCAGCAGAGAGAAGTGTGTTGGAATTGAGAGATTTTTTAATCCCCTAAACATTATGGAAAGGCCATGTCCCAACTTTGAATGATATGCAGAAGCATGGCCAATCCTGAAGGCAAGAGAGCCACTGGAGACACTGTATCCTATAGACATGACGGAATTAAGAGCCAGTCCTACATGGGAGCTGTGCACAAGTATTCTGGGAGATAAGGTGGGTGGGTTTTTCTTCCCAGAACTAGAAAAAAATTGGGATGAGAAGAATTTGATAAAAGATATGAACACATAAGTGATGAGGCAGAATATAGCCATGACTACACTGCTCCTTTCCCCCAGCTTCCTAATTTGTAAAACCAAGTAAATATAAAGGCACTTTCCAGAAACTCCTCAGGCCAGCAAGATAGGAATGGACGTGGGCACTTCAAACCAAATGTTACTTTATTTCAGGGTTCCAAATCTCCAATAATCAACAACAACTTTCTGGTCATTTACAGTTTGCCCCCAGAACTGCTCATATTTTCTTTGAAAGGCTAGAGACATTGGTGGAAGATGGCACATGAGGATGTCTGGGAGGTGGAGGATGTTGGAGATTACAATAGGAATGAAGGTAGCGGGTGCAGGGTTGTGGTGAGGAAGCAGGGTTACTCACACTGGGGGAGGGAGGCTAGCAAAAAGTGAGCCTCTTCTTTGGGAACTCAGGACCCTATCTTGTATCACCAGGTATGTAGATGAGCAGGGTATTTCATGCTGGAAGCTATTCCCAGGCCTCAACATTCTCTCTCAATCTAAGTGTTGGCTACCTATTTCCTTCACTAGAAAAGCTGAAAACCAAAACTGTGCCCATAGCTGATGGTAGCTCTTGCTATGGGAGAAGATGCAGTATTCTCACAGAAACAGGTCATTTCTATTCCTATAGGAAGGAGAACTATTCTCACTTCACAGATACAGAGAATAACCCAAAGTATACAATTAGATATTCAGAACATTTTCAAACCTAGCCTCCTGACAGAATAGGAGTGTTATTTCAAATTCCATGTCTCCATGTCCAGAAATCCAACAAGTTTGCAACAGAGTGGTATCTGTTCTCTCTCTCTCTCTCTCTCTCTCTCTCTCTCTCTCACACACACACACACACACACACACACACACACACACACACGCCATACTTTACAACTGTGTGTCTTCACCCATTCATTCATTTGGTGCCAGGCATTGGGTACAGAAATATAAATAAGACACTTTCTCAAGGAGCTCACAGTCTAGTTGGAGAGACAAACACATAAGCAGATAACTGCATAATTGAAGCATGATTAGTCCTAAGCAAAGAGGTTCCATTCAATAAATCCTATTAAACAATGATCTCCAGTAGCCCCTGGTATCAAATGAAAGACAGGAAGAAGACTGCAGGGCACCTCTGTATGGGTTTTAGATTGTGAACATATTATAGATTCTGAGAAGTAACAGTATGCTCTCAGAACTAGTACTGTAATTACAGTACCATGACATATTCTTTAATCTCTATAGCAGCGGTTGCCACCTCTCAGACCTCGTGGACCACTGGTTGCTGCTCTATAATATCTAGGACTACCCTGGGCACAAAGTAGCTGCTAAACACCTGATGTTCTTGGTGAATGGAACAAGTACACGAGACTCTTGGTAACTTGTTCCTCTACAAAGGTTTGAAGATTGGCAGATCTGGAATGTTCTGTAAAGTACAACACTGCCCTACCTCATCACATTACTGATCCACTGCATAAGCCATCTGCTCTATCTGGCACTTAAAGGGTTGGGGGTAGGGAATCCTTCACTGGAGGGCCAGAAAAGAAGACATTATAATGTGGGTAAATGGCTTGGTAGTTCATTGTAACAAACAAAAAGATGAATTTGACACTTAAGTCCCCTGGCTCATGCTTAGGATAGAAATAGAGCTCAAATTCCTTATACTTGTCACACAATTTTAGCTTTCAGAAATGGACCTGCCATTACAATGACATAAATAAAATCCCACCCTCACTTGCTTAAAAGCCTTCAATGGCTTCCCATTGTACTTAAAATAAAATCTACCTCCTCTGTGTGGTTGGTAAGGCCCTCATTCAGGTCTTGTTCACCCTACCGATCTTAACTGGCCCTGCTCTCCTCTCACTTACCAGACCCAGCCACAATAGCTTCCTTGAGGTTTTCAATATGCCAGGCCCTTTCCTGTACTAGGCCCTTACACTTGCATTTCCTTCTCCCGGGGCCCTCTTCCTACTCTTGAATGGCTAACTCCATCTCATCCTTCAGATCTCAGCTCAAATATTTCCTATTCAGAGAGGCCTTTCTTGACCATCTTATCCAAAACGACCCCATCTTATTCCTTTTACTTATTAACATACCAACCAGTTAATTTACTTCATAGCACTTCCCATACTCTGAAATTATCTTGTTTATTTATTTGTCTCCTTGTTAATTAGCAGTATTCTTCTAAATAAAAAACTCCTGAGACCGGGAGCTAGATTTATCTTGCTGTATCAGCAGGCATACACTAGGTACTCAAATATTTTGAGTGAATTAATGAATGAGAATTAGGAAAATACAGTGGCAGTAGGTGAGCAGGCATTGAGTTAATGTGAAAAACATCAGTTTTCCTACTGTGAAGCTAGGAATTGTTGTCCGACATTTTTTTTTAACTTTATTAGGGTATATTCAAGTAGCAATAATATACAAAGAAAAGTGAAAGACGGAGAGTCTAAGCCCACTGTTGATGACTTAAAAAAGAAATGTCAAAAAGAGCAAAATCTAAAAAAAAAGAGCAAAATCTTGCTGATTCCAGCTTCCACCCAGTTTGTAATGAATATTATTACTGTTAGAAGCAAATTTTATTATTCTTCTAACAGATCCCAAGGTTGGTTTCACTTCTTCCTGAGTAATGCAGTTCTGCACCCAGCTCTGCAACAACTCATCTAAGTCTCATTCAAGCACATTCACACCCATGCCAGCCTAGGGTACCTGAGAATCTCACTTGAAAACAAACAAACAAAAAACTGTTGTTGTTTCAAAACACCAGGCAAAAAAGAGTTTTCTCTTTCCAAAAAAAACCACCTGAACACAAGGCAAATCATATGCACGAAGTAGGTTCTTCCTCATAATACTTCAGCTCAAGATCTGCTCCTATTGAGGGAAGTGTAACCGGGCGTGTAAGTGTAACCCTTTTAAAGGTGCAATTCAAAAGCTAATGCTGACACCATTAAACCTACTGCTGTTTGTTTCAATGAACTCAATCAATTAGGGCAGTTATCTTGGCTCTTAGTGATGAAGAGTCCTGAACTTGGAAAAACATAAGCAAGAAGAGTGAAAGATGAAACCTGTTGCCCTTGTTTCCTGTAGGATGCCTTCTGTGGCATACTGGGTACACACAATTATGTCCTAAAAGCAACTCAATCAAATGCTGAGAGAGAGTGGTACTTACGAGGCATGATCCCTTGGCTCACCAGCTCTTCCCGTGTCCGCCGCTGCTGGAGCTTCAACTGCAGCACTGCATGGCAGCAAAGAGAGAGAAGAGATGAAGGCTCAGTAAGGAATTCCACAACAAAAGACACATTTTCAAATGCAAAGAAAGTCTTAAAACGGAAGGGTGTAGTGTAAAAGAAGGATCCTCTTGAATTGTGACTGTAATTGCAGAAGTGGCCTGATACAGCAGGGTTTCCGTATTCTGCTGTGGGCGGCGAGAGGAAGTTGCAAAGGGTCTTGCAGGGCGATAACAATCCACAAAGTACCAAACTCTTGCTCTTGCTCAAAACCTTCTACAACACTGTCCTCTCAAGGTTGAAAAAACACACAAATGCTTAACTCAAAGAAAATATGAGGACCACTCCCCAGCAGAAAAAGCTTCCCAGATATTCTACACTTTCTTCCCGGTAGCAAATGTTTACCACCATAACTATAGTGAATGATACAGTTATTCACGCAGATCAGGAAGTATTGGTAATATCTTTTCATCGCATCTAAAAATCATACCTATTTTCACCAGGAAATATTTTGCCGTTAATATAACTCTTTTCTTCCTATTCACTCTTAGAGCCTTTTCTGTTGAGGTGAAACACCAACCAACTAGATGATTCAAAGCACAGCAGGCTAGGGGAGGGTGACGGTGTTTCTCCTATTTCCACTCTGGCAACACCACTTAATTGGACAACCTATTAAGATTTTTTAAAAAAAATTTTTTTTATTGATTTTTTACAGAGAGGAAAGGAGAGGGATAGAGAGTCAGAAACATTGATGAGAAACAACGATCAGCTGCCTCCTGCACACTCCTTACTGGGGATGTGCCCACAACCAAGGTACATGCCCTTGACCGGAATCGAACCTGAGGCCCCTCAGTCCGCAGGCCGACGCTCTATCCACTGAGCCAAACCGGTCAGGGCGAGATTTTTTTTAACTTAAAACTCAGTAATCTATATTTCAAATGCCAATGAAATCTAAAGGGTATTATCACTGCACACCATGCAGAATGATGATGCATGCCATGGCCTGCATTCAGAGGCTAGGTGAGAAAATGTTTAAAAGTTTCACAGAAAGGTCCCATGGGCCAAGGACAGTACCCTTACATGATAATTCTTTAGTTATAAGATCCCTGCAAGTCACATCTGAGAGGGACTTGTCTCTATTAGGAACCATATTACCCTAATATCTGTCTTTTCCATCCATAGAGCCTTTTTTTTTAAAAGGCTTTTAATTAATTAATTAATTTATTTATTTTATTTTATTGATTTTTTTACAGACAGGAAGGGAGAGAGATAGAGAGTCAGAAACATCGATCAGCTGCCTCCTGCACATCTCCCACTGGGGATGTGCCTGCAACCCAGGTACATGCCCTTGACCGGAATCAAACCTGGGACCTTTCAGTCTGCAGGCCAACGCTCTATCCACTGAGCCAACCGGTTTTGGCCATAGAGACATTTTTAAGGCCTCCAAGATTCATAAGTAGGCTTCTGACTAGATCTCAAATCTAGCAGGCCCAAAGTAGATCTTGTCTTTCTCCCAAAACCCTAATCCACTTCCCATTCTTTTTCTCTTTAATGGTATCACTATCCTTCCTGGTACTAATATTAAAATTTCTGAGCCACTTCATCTCCTCCCTGTCCACAACTATCCTATTTTATAAAGTTTACTGCACTATGTTTTCCCATGTTGCAGAATTAGCTCACTGGCTTGTGTCCTTCCTTGTGCTGTGTGTCTTCCATTCTAAGTCACCCGAATAAAGGTTGTCCAATTTACTCTTCTTCAAGTACCATGCACTTTTCCAATGCTTTATTCACTTCACCTGAAAATGTCTACCTTCTTCACCTGACCTTCCCAACTCATTCCCCAGCATTCAGAATTAGCCTAGGCCTACTGTGAGCTACTTTTTATCTGATATAAAAAGTATAGTAATATTCTGCCCTGTGTAATACTTACCCTCTGAATATATTTTCTCTCTCCTGCCAGTTTACACACTCTTGGGAGGGCAGGAAATATATCTTATTAATGTATGCCCCCCCATAGCACTTGATACACTGTAGGCATTTAATAACTGTTTCTTGAATTGAACTGAATCTCAAAACGATGATACATACAGTCTAAGAAATCTAATCAGGAGGTTATAACTATAATTATATATTTTCTTTTACAAATTAACACTGTTAAAAGCAAAGCTTTGCAGAATAAAATAGGTACAAACAGCAACAGCTACTCCAGTAGCTAAATACTTACAGGCTATGTGCTCTGTGCCACTGTTCAATGTACTTTCATGTTTTAACTCGTTTACTCTTCAAAACCCCCTATGGCAGGAAGGGTATTATTAATCCTATTTTACAGATAAGGAAAATGTGGCCCAGAAAAATTAAGTAATTAACCTAAGGTTATCACACTAATCTGATATAATAAAGATGTAATATGCAAATGGTTGTTACACCATGAAGTGCAAGGACTGACAATGTAACAACCGGATCATGGATCAGCAGGAGGGTGGGGCAACAAGCTACAAGTGGGTGGTGGAGAGCTACAGGAGAGGGCAGGGCAGCAAGCTATGAGGGGGGGGGGGGCGGTCCTGGGAGAGCAGGCGGAGAGCTACTGGAAGGTGGCAGTGAGCTACTGGCCTACTGTGCAGGGCTACTAGTAAGAAGTATAACAGGATTTGAACCCAAGCATTCTGATTCCAGACCCTGGGCTCCTTACTCTCCGCTTCTCCAGGGTCTTCTGGAACCCTGAGCTGCTGAGATAACAGGCATGGAATTGATCACCTGGGTTCATTCTCTGGAGAGAGAGAGACAAAGGGTCTGAGGAAAACATAGATACTTCAGGCCAGGGTCAAAGGAGTTTGGGTGATCAACTTCAATAAAACAAATTTAAATGAGTCTAGGAACTTGATTTCAGAATAAATTATAATCATAGATCAGTAACAATAATTATAGTAAAATACAAATAATAATAGAGTTAGTGTTGCTGAGTCAGCCCTGTTAAGTAACTGGTAGGCTTTAAACTTATTAAAAAAAAAAAAAGGACCCTGTGACTCTAAAAGTGTGGGCACTTAATACTAACTAACCCATATGTCTCCTGATGAAAGAAAGAGAAGTGCCAGGCAAGATAAAGAGGGGGGAAAAAGGGCAAATATTTGTCATTTTCTATAGTGTTTCTAAGGCCACTGTAAGAGGAGCTATTAGAAAAGTATAAAATACAAGAAATTAATTTGATTTCAGAGAATATGAAAATCTAATGTAATTCAGTAAGTCTGAACACCTCAAAGAAATGCGAACTATGGCTGTTGGCCAAGAATAATTTTGAAATATCAATCAGTAACCCTTCTTAAAAAAACCCAAACATATACAGATAAGGCCACAAGAATATTTTAAGAAGCTTCTGGATTAAAAAACTTCTTGCTTCATGGAAGCAAAACTTTGAGTCTATGATTCAAGTTTTTTATGGAGAGCAAAGTAAAAATCTTTTTAAGCTTTATATATTTTTTAAAAATATATTTTATTGATTTTTTACAGAGAGGAAGGGAGAGAGATAGAGAGTTAGAAACATCGATGAGAGAGAAACATCGATCAGCTGCCTCCTGCACATCTCCCACTGGGGATGTGCCCGCAACCCAGGTACATGCCCTTGACCGGAATCGAACCTGGGACCTTTTAGTCCGCAAGCCGACGCTCTATCCACTGAGCCAAACCGGTTTCGGCTTAAGCTTTATATTTTAAGAACTCTAATGCAAAGAGGAAAGTTTACTGAATAAACCTTTCCATCTCTAAAACTAAATGAAATTAAAGTTTAGTTATTCGAAAATTCCATCTTGTCTCTCAGTGGTTAACTCCAAATTCCATGCTTATCTGAAAGCTGACCAAGTACCCCATTCAAATAACAGAAGCTGCCCTGCATCAGTATTATCTTGGGTATCACAACTTGATTGTAGGTATGTTCTGTTTTTTGTTTTGTTTTTTTTAAATATATCTTATTGATTTTTTTACAGAGAGGAAGGGAGAGGAATAGAGAGTTAGAAACATCGATCTGCTGCCTCCTGCACACCCTCCTACTGGAGATGTGCCTGCAACCAAGGTACATGCCCTTGACTGGAATCGAACCTGGGACCTTTCAGTCTGCAGGCCGATGCTCTATCCACTGAGCAAACCGGTCAGGGCGTATGTTCTGTTTTATACATTGCATAACCCTCTCCTACTAACTCTAACAATCTTTATACGGAGAGTGAAAAGACCTAAGCAATAAACTCAGAATTATGGTAGTCAACCTATACTTTATTTTATAATTTATCTGATTGCCTCTGTGTGTGTGTTGTGTATATATGCAATGATACTTCTTCTAAGATTTCAACTACAAAGAAATGAATATTTATATGAATATCCTCTTTCTTTAATCTATCTTACTTTCTCTTAATTCTAAACACTAAATAAAATGCTTTTATGTTTCCAGATCTTAAGGATTATTCTTTTTAGAAGAAATCATTTAGTAACTCACTTTCAGTAAATAACATTTCAAGGCATATGCTCTGTATCCACTGAAGGTACCCTAATCAGGAGTATATTTCAGGGGCCATACATTTAATGCACATCCACCCGCACTAAGAATTACCTAACACTAGTTCAAATTAATATTCTCACAGACAGTGCTAGACCAAGGAGATTCAAAAAAGAAAGAACTCAATGAACTCTATTTAACATACATCAACATTTAGTTTTCTTCTCCACTCCCCAAGTGAATAAAAACTAAACAAAAATACCTATTTGTGTACAAGTTCTATGTTCACTGTTATTGAATTCCACAAATTTAATATGTCATCTGTTTCTAAGTGGTTCTGTGAGAGCAGCCTATATATAGATGAACAGATGTCTTTAAAGCTAGTGGATGGTAAATCAACTGAGTTGTCTGCCAGAAAAGGATTGGCATGAAAAGAAAAGAAACTGGACCATAAAGTGGAAATAATAAAGTTTTCCACCTGTTTCAAACAAAAGCGATCAATTGCTATTTGAATAACTGGCTACTTGA